TCCCCAGAGAGATCAGGCGCAGTCACAATCAAACTACAACATTCTCTGCATGCGTGTGCCCAAAATAGATCAGGATGCAGGCTATTGTTATATGCAGAGAACTGGAAGAATGTAAAAATACCAATGAAAGAAGAATGCTTGTTAAAACTGGTGGACATGGCTGAGATAGATAACTCAAGGAAAACAATAGTTTATTTGTGAAGCACTGGGCAATTTTATGGACTTTTTGTGTAAAAGAGAGTGAATTGATAATAATAGGATTTGACAATTAAGGTATTGGAATTTCAGGAGACATGTAAGAAGTAGAGGTATCAAGGGAGAGGCTGAATTAGATGTGTGTGTGTGTGTGTGTGTGGCTGCTGTGAAAAAAGTTGGAAGTAATATTTATGTTGTTCATGATATTGTGTATAGGTGTTGTATTTTATGCATTCTTTGTTGTATATAATATGTCTCCTATTTAGTTCAGTATGCTCTTCAATAAAATCCAAACTAAAAAGGATCCAAGCTGTGGCCCTGGCCACTCAGTCATGGTAAGATTACTACTGCTATTTTTCCTCTCTCTTATGTTGAACAATTTGTGAAGCCTATTCAAAAATCTATAAATATTGATTTGTCTTTGTAACTTTTCATACTTTCAGCAAAATCCACACTGTCTCATTAGCATGGTCTCCACACTGCCATTATCTTTAGCATGCTGCATACACTTGTCTATTAAAAAATTGCCCATCATTTCATTCAGTATCATCTAATTCCTGGATTCTTGGTCAGAGAACAAGAACAATACTTTGTTCTGGATGTTTCACTTCTTTAGATAGAAAACAATAGCTCCTTTGCACCGTGGGAAGGGCTCCATCATAAATCATTTTCTCAGTGAATTCTAAGGACCTTATCACGTTAACAGTTGAGATTCACCATGCACTGTGGTGAATCTGTGGGGTCCCGGCGAGGGGTGTGGAGAACCTGTTGCTCCATGCCCTGTATCATTGCTCAACTTACTGTTGGCCCCATCCCATGGGGGAAGTGTCCACTGTCTGGCTTCCCCCCATTGTTGCAGAGGCCACATGGGAAACCTTCTGTGTTGCCGTCACAGCAGTTTACGCCCCTTGCTCTCACCTTTTGCAATGCCGAAAATAGATGTACATTGTGTAATGGGCTCTATGACAAAAGGGGAGAGCAAGGGGTGTACCACAGGAAAATTAGCCCATATGATGAGATCATATGTGTTTAGAAATGGGGGGTGGGGGTGGGATAAAGTTCTAAGAAAAAGGAAGTCAAGGCTGCATCATTCCCCTTATAAATTTAAGACCAAGAGCAAACTGCCTGGTTGCTGCATCCAAGTACAGGAAGAAAAAGCAAAAAAAAAAAAAAAGTAAGAAGGATAACCTGTGAAAAGCAGAAAAACTGTTAGAATACATATTTCATAAATAATAAAACAAATAAAGTAAATTCTTCATTGCAACGCTGTGTTAATGGGTGTTGTGATCAATTATGGCATATATGTATTTGACCATGTGCAATGCATCCTTCTGGCAATAGTTATTTGGATTTTCTATAAATCCTGCTCATGTAACAAACAACTGACAGGGCATAGGTAGTTTTAAGTTGACTAAAAGTGTGTGATTTGTAGAAAAAAATGGAACCTTTGCTGCTGGGGGAAGACAAAATCAATATACGTTCAATAATGATCTAAAATATACCATTATCAAAACAAAAAAAGGAATTTTGCTTCTTCTTATTCTCTCTTGTTCAATGTTGCCTTTTGTCATTTTTGGAAGATACATACATGCATATACAGTGTGTGTGTGTGTGTGTGTTTCAATGCAGATATTTTGGATTAAAGAAAAAAAGTGGCTAAAGTGCCATGATTTTTCATTAATCTTGTAGATCATTTCCCCATTTTTGGAAAATCTCTTAGTTTCAAAACAACAGACATGATCAAACTGCCTAACAGCTTGAATGAGCAATCATACAAAGAAGTATCAGCACATCTAATAAATGGATGCATAAATACAGTGTAATAGACATGTATGCATATCAATTTTGATGAACATGCTGGCTAGGAATTTTGGGAATAAACAGAGAATCTACACTTGGATCTATCCTACATTGCTTAGATTAGAATCGACAACTGCCAGATGTTAGGGAGCCATAATAATCCCTACTCTAGGGTCCATGGAGGATGTCTGCTTTTTTGCCCATACAGACAAAACTAAAAAAAAAACCCTTCTCTTCCCCACCTTCGCCGTACCAATTTACCTCTCCAAGCCTCCATGGCCTTGGATGTAATTTCACCTGTTTTGCTCTGTCTGAGACTGCTTTATTCCAGGGAAATGCTTTAAAAACTCCAGAAAGTTTTGAAAGCCCTATTTTGTGGCTATTTCCTTTAGAGAGAGAAAGAGGAAAAAAGACTCTTCTAGGCTTGAAATGTCCCAAAATGTGGCAAAAATTCCACCAGTGCCTCGGAGCCCTTCCACACAGACGTATCATCCAGAATATCAGGCAGAAAATACCACAGTATCTGCTTTGAACTGGGCTATCTGAGTCCACACTGCCATATAACCCAGTTCAAAGCAGATAATGTGGGATTTTATTCAGCTGTGTGGAAGGGCCCTCACAGGCCCTTAAAAAATCCTAAAATCTTTTTTTTTTCAAAATAGAATTTGTGGAGTGCTAGATGTCCTGATAGTCCACACAAATGTCCTTGGGAACTGCATGCAACCCACAGGCTGCATTTTTCCAGTTGTTATATATATTCAGTAATGATCATCCATATGTCAACAAGGTATAGCAATGATCTTTCTCTATAAGTAATTTTTGCAAATAATGTGTGAGTCTTGTTCCCCAGTGGCAAGAAGGCTAATATGTTCTTTGGGATAATAATGAGACATACACTGAAAGGACTGGTTCAATTGTTCAACTTGTGCAATTGGTTTAGGTGCCTCACAGATCAAGGGCCCAGTGGTGAGATTTGATTCTATTTCTTTCCCAGTCACGTCTCTGAATCTACCGAGTCTTCTACTGCTAGCTGGGGACTTCTGAGCATCCCTTGTAACTTGTGAGTACTGAACATGCCTAGTGAGTTGTTGTTGCTCTTGTAACATGCCTTCAAGTCATTTCCAGTTTATGCTGATCCTAAACCTTTTTGGAACCAAGAGTCTGGTCATCCTGTGAATTTCAATGGCAGAGTGAAGAATTGAATCTTGTATTGTCGAAGGCTTTCATGGCTGGAATCACTAAGTTCTTGTGGGTTTTTCCCCCCGGGCTATATGGCCATGTTCTAGAGGCATTTCTCCTGACGTTTTGCCTGCATCTATGGCAAGCATCCTCAGAGGTGAGGTCTGTTTGGTAACTGGGAAATATATAAAACCTTTTCCCAGTTACCAAACAGACCTCACCTCTGAGGATGCTTGCCATAGATGCAGGCAAAACGTCAGGAGAAATGCCTCTAGAACATGGCCATATAGCCCGGGGGGAAAAACCCACAAGAACTAATTGAATCTTGGTTTGCAGAATCATAACTCAATGCTCAAACCACTACATCAAACCACCTCATCATACGGCCACCAAAAAAGGCAGACCTTGCTTGGCTTCATCGCAGGGTGTGGGGAAGCCACCACCCCATCACCTGGCTCCTCTGACTCTTGATTCGATGGGGGAAGCATGATGTGCATGAGGAATGTGTGGCTTCCCTCCATTAAAGTCAATGGCAACACAGGAAGCCTCCTATGTTGCTGTGGTGCTGTGCCGATTCCACCTCCTTTCACCCACGGAGCTGGCCCAACGTTTGATGGGTGACCATGGGAACCATGGGTGACCAGGGCTAGATCAGCACATGGCACTGATTTTAGCCCTGAGATGTCTAGAGTTTCTCAAACTGTGCTCCCCCATATGTTTTGGAATTCAGCTTCCATAATTTTTAACAGCTGGTAAGGTGACTGGGAATTCTGGGAGTTGAAGTCCAAAACATCTGGAGGAGCACAGTTTGAGAAAGACTGCACTACATCATACTGGGGGGAAAATATTCTACCGGTTGTTGGCTACCAAAGGACAACACTTGATAAAACTATCAGAGGATTGTCAGGAGTAATCCTGAAGCAAGTCACCAGATTTATGGACCCAGGAGTACAGCAGTCTGACAGCTTGTCCATATCGCAAAGACATCCTATTATTACTCCCAATTATAGCGGATCCATTGATTTAATTAGATTTACATGTGTTGGCTCATAATGCAACATTTAATCCAATCATTCTGCTGTAGTTGGGATGAACTCATCGAATTCAATTATGCCCAAACTTTAGTGAGATACATTATTGTCTTGAACCAACAATTCTAAAATATAAATATAGGTGGACTTGATACCTGAACAAATAACTGGACAATGAGTAATGGAAACAATACTTTTTGGATTACCAGAATATCCTAGCCAACAGGGCCACTAAGAATAGTAATCAAAAAGCAAACACTTCTCTTCCTTGCTCTGTCAAGTGTTTAGCTAGAGGCTGTATTAAAGAAACAGATGGGAGGAAATGCAGTCAGTTGCATGCACTCAATCACACTGCACCATCCAGCCACATTTCTCTTATTGGTCTGTCTGTTGTGTCTTGCTAAAGTATGGGCATAATGCCTTTCCGATAAATTGTTCTATAATGGGTGAGCTGTCAGGGAGTTACACTGCTGTGCCCATGAGGCTTTTCTCCCATTTCCTTCCTCTTTTCGACACACCTTCAGCTTACTTCTCGCATTCTTTGTATCGTTGTACTCAACACCGTGTTAGAATAGCCAGGGGTTGTCTTAGCACAGCAGAACCTGCTTGCCTTTCTCCTGTTGGGGGAAAATAAAGATTGATGAGTTCTTCCCCAAAGTGACTTCTAAGGAGGTGTCACTGACAGGAATTTCCTGGATGAAGTCCGTAAGGGAGAGAGGCTGTGTAACTTCTCAGCAGTAGAAATGCCCCTTGTGGTCTCCAGTGTAGCTAATAAAAGGAAAAGAAATGATTGCGTGGAGGGAAACCATTTATTTCACAGGTCTGTGGGCAAGGAGAAGGCTGGATGTTGCTTTACCTCCGCACTTGCCCTCCGCTGAGAACACAGAATTTGTGGTGATGAATGCTTCCTTCTGCCATGTGAAAAGCATGAAGTGGCATATTCTGTCCCTTTGCAGCTGCTTGTCCCCTCTTCCCTAAGAAAACAAATGACAGTTCCCTTTAGTGTCATCTTTTTCGCCTCCTTTTTTTTTTAAATGACTTTTCTCTCAGAGATTTATTGCAAGAGCTTTGCGAGAGATTTGCAGCAAGCAGTGCTCAGCCTGTAGTCTTACATCCTCACTCAGTGCCACAACCATAACTCTCCCAGAGTGGAATGACAGAACCTCGTGATGGCTAATAATGTATTATGATGATACTGTCTGGGCAAGAAGGATGGCACTCAGGTTTTCGGTGTCTCATTTGGGTTATGTGCAACTTTTCTCTCGCAAGGCTGAAACAAATGGTGTTGTCTTAGATAAGACCAAGGAAATTAAGCAATAACAAATAAATTAAAGTAATAGCATTTGCCTGTCACCAACAGGCATGTCTTTGCTAGAGACTGAATTGAATTAGAAGCAGTATACTGAAGTCTTTTTTTAAAATGAATTAGTTCTTAGAACTTTGAATCCTGTCAGTCTCAGAATACCAGATAGTGAGATGTCTGACAGGTTCTTAGAAGTCTGTTCTCTAATTACCATAACGTGGACTGTGCCTCTCCCGGTCTACTTGATGCCCTGGTATGATGAAGGCCCACTTTATTACTTTAGTTTTGCCCCAAGGAATTTTAGGATTTACATTTTAGAGGCATTTAGAATTCTTAGCCAGAGCATTCAGGTTTTTTTTGTCGTGTCAGGAGTGACTTGAGAAACTGCAAGTCACTTCTGGTGTGAGAGAATTGGCCGTCTGCAAGGATGTTGCCCAGGGACGCCCGGATGATTTGATGTTTTTATCATCCTTGTGGGAGGCTTCTCTCGTGTCCCCGCATGAGGAGCTGGAGCTGATAGAGGGAGCTCATCCGCCTCTCCCCGGATTCGAACCTGCGACCTGTTGGTCTTCAGTCCTACCAGCACTGCGCCACCGGGGGCTCCTCAGTGATTCACTGTCATAAAATATATGGTGGATGGTTTGAATGGAATTATATGAAAGATGTATGGTTTGGGTCTATATAGTCTAGAAATGTCATCCTAAGATGAAGCCTGGAAAACTACAAGAAGGAAGTGGACTGTAATTAAAAGGTGCTGAACTGCTGATATTGATGACTTGAGACAATTATTAACTGTTGAATTTTTGGTGAAAAATGTGTTTACATTGTCGGAGACAATGGCTCTTTAAGTTAAGGAAATGTTTACAAGGTTCCTCACGTTAAGAAGCAAGTCAACACAGGGCTCCTTACGTTTACCAACATCAATTAAGCAAAGCCAACATCTACCAGGAACTGAGATAAAGCCAGGATGTTTCAGGTTGGACAAACATCTATAATTCAGTTACAACTTTTGGGAACAACATCAGCAAGAAATATTGCTATATAAGTGACCTTATTACAATTCCAAAATTGTGGCAGACTGGAGCAGTCTGGCCGGCCCATCACTCTTCTCCTTGGGAAGGAGAGAGATGGTGTGCCTTTGGGAGTGGCAGATCTGCAATGGAACATAGTTTGGTCACTTGCTCCTTTTCTCATGGGAAGAGGAAGGAGTGCAATTTTGGAGTCATTATATATTTGCAGGCAGACAGTTTCTGCTGTAAAGGGAAACAGGAATCTGATCCTTGACATTATTCTTGGGGAACGAGGATGCATTTTGGAAGCTTTGGAAGTTTTGGAACTGTGCATTGGCAGCTTGCAGGGAAAGCAGGGTCTGGTATAAGCAGGTGCTTCTTCAAGAAGGGAAAAAAGGATATGGTAATATTTGGATGTATACATGAGGATGAATGAATGTGTAAGGGTAATGTGAATGCTGAGTAAAAATGTAATTTCCCTTTGTTTGTTAACCAATGTAACTGTAGGTTGTTTGTGAATTCAATGTAGTTACATCGAATCTGTATGTTTAAATATGTTCTGTAAAAGTTCTGATGCCTTATCTCTTACAGGAAAATTGCAATAAAAATAACCTATGCTTGAAAGTTATTGAAAAGTTATTCATAACATCATCAAACTATAAATCTCAAGATTTCCTATGATTCAACCATGGCAGTTAAAGTGGAATCATAGTAGTATATCTCTGTAGTGTGAAATGGCCAGAACTGAGAACAATACAGCAGGTGCCTATTTATTTATTTATTTATTTATTTATTTATTTACTTTGCTTCTATACCGCTGTTCTCAGCCCAAAGGCGACTCACAGCGGTTCACAACAATAAGAGACAGCAGAAATTCAATGTACAATATAAAAACAGTTAGCAGTCTAATCCATTACACAATTAATAACAATAAATTAGCCAAGGAGTCAGAAACAACTCTTCAGGACCTAGGAGAGCTACCAAAGGCCAGAAGGAAATGGTAATAAGAGCTAGAGACAGTGTGTGCAGATATCCAAATTTTGCTGTTTGAGTGTCACATCAAGAAGAAGATGCTGCAGTAATTGCATCAGGGTTGGACTTTGGGACAGATACCGAAAGTGGCACGTGGCAGAATGATCAGGCGTTGGAGTACACATCTTGTTTGGAAAAGTACTGCACATCATCATCCAAAGAGTCCTTCATCCCACTCAGTTGGGAGATGAATGTGACCACTGATGCGATTATGCCATTTCCTGTCATATACAGCTCCCAACTGAGAACACTCAGGCATTTCATCAATAAACTACAGACTATTCTGGAAAACAGTCTTATCTCTCAATATTCTTGGTGGTAAGCTTTTACTTATTTACAGAACGCCATCCAATCTCAAACAATTACTTATGTACAAGATGATAGGCAATAGGATGGAGAAATAGATCTTGTCTTTACCACAAACTCAAATATCAACTCTGAGCCACATCTACTTGCAAATGTCATCACAGTACCTTATCATCACCATAATATTAGAGGTATTTTCACTTGCTCATCTGCTAACGTGATATATGCCATTCTGTGTCAACAATGCCCTTCAGCACTCTCTATTGGATAAACACGTTTATGTGCCAGAGGATAAATGGACATGAATCAGATATTAGGAAGGGGTATATACAAAAACTAGTTTCAGAACATTTCAGTATTTCAGGACATTTCATCTTGGACCTCTAAACAGTAATCCTTGAATAATAAAAAAAACCAGCAAAGGACGGTTGGAAAAGGAAGCAGAACTGTAATATATTCACAATTGTGGATGCTGAGGTTGGGGAACACCACAACATGAAGAACTGTATCAACAATCCATAGCATCAACAGTGGTTGGAATAGAGACAATGGTTTCCTGGCACACTATACATATTAGAATCATAGAATTATAGAGTTGGAGGAGACCACAAGGGCCAACACCCTTGGGCAGGAGCACACAACCAACGCAACTCCAACAGATGGCCAACTGCTTAAATACCACCAGAGAAGGAGACTGCACCACACTAAATAACACCTCAGCCTCATGATAGTTCTCTTGGCCAGTCTACCACACTTTCTTTCCAGTTCCCAGCCAACATCATACTACATTCCAATAACTTCCTCCACCATTAATATGGTTAGCCACTCCTCTTAGCATTGTGCAACACCTTTCCTCCTGCCTTTGCCCATCATCATCATCATCATCATCAACAACAACAAAAGCCAGACAAGTCTCCATGTGCTTGTATAATTCTTGTTTAATTCTGTAAAAAAAATACATCAACATGTATACAATGAATAGGTTTTGAATCCTAATTTATTGATACTTGTGTTTATTGCTAGTATAGCCTCTGAAGAAGTCCATTCAGTTCAATGCATAGGCTGAAAAGCATTAAGCTTTCCGCTGCCTTAGTGCCACTCCTGCCTCTGCTGTCACTCTGTGGCTGGGTGTTTGTGGCATGGTCATGTGTTTACTGTATTAGATAATTTTAGGTCACACAACCCTATGGTTTATTTTCTTCCCAGCATGCACAGACCTATCAAGCAATAGCCTTTCTTGTTCTCCCACCAGTCAAACCACATAGCTGGCAGTCCCGTTGTATGCTCCTCTTCTAATTCCCTTCCCTTCCAGCCTGAGTACTGAGCATAAGTGTTGTGGTCTAAACTAACTGAGGGGCCCTTAATTTTCCTGACAAGCATGTACACACGCATTCACTGGACAAAGAGTGACATGTGTTTGGGTCAGTGGCACAACAGTAATGGAAAGGGGCTTCAAGGGTTCGCTCCTTGTCCCTTCCCCTGATCCTGCTCCCTCCATCAGCCCCGGGGACCTGTTGACCACCGCATCCCTCCTCCCATCCAAGTCCCTTTCCTCACATTCAGGTATGACTGACTGATGCCAGGAACATATATGCCCTTCCTGACCCATTTCTGATTCTCTTCCCACCATCTCACTTGGGTATGAATGACTGATGATGGAAATGTGCATGTCCTCCTTTCTCTCTGCCACACATCTACTTCCCAACTTTGAAAATATATTTAAAAAGTGGATTTAGCTAACAATCCACTAACCTGCCTTACCCTCCAACGGCCTCCCCATTGCACTCTGATCCCAATTTGAGGTGCAGGGCGCATCTTTATCTACAAACAGCAGGGAGCTTTTTAAAAAACTGTTTTAAAATACTTAAGCATTTAAAAAAATGCTCCACTTTCAAAACTTAGAAATGCCGTGTGTTCCAACTGCACCAGGATCGCGGTAAGGATGAATTAATTTCCCCATATGGTTTCAGCCTAAGTCTACCTCTTTAGTTACACACTTTACATTTATTACAAGCATACAAAATAAGTGCATACATTTTAAAGAGGATGCTTGAGGAAGAAGCACTCAGTCTTAGAACGGTGTTAGAGCTAATTCTGGAGAGGTGAAGTCACTTGCTATTAGCACTTAAGGCTTCTTCTCCATGATTCAGCCCTCACATGCAAATCTGTTCTATTTAGGATGAGTGTAAAAAAATTCAGTCATCTTATCATTTGGCTTTTATATATTTCCAACTGCTCTATATTTATAGAATGGCTATAATAATACCACTCTGTCTTCTTGTTATGATTCAGGTGCATTTCTGATAGGTTTGATTGAGTTATT